TGGCTCTGAATGAGAATGTTGTATTGACTGTATTCAGACAGTGGTCATAGATCCTCTGGGAGAATTATTTGTCTTGACCATTATAAAACAGACTTTAATTTTCAAAATACTCCATCTCGGGTGAGATTTGAAATGCCAGCTCCATTCCTGTGCATAAATAAAATGGTCACATGAGAAATATGACTGTTTTTCATGTCACTGAGAATTCCTGGGAAGTCCCCACAGTGGAAACTTTCTCAAAGCTGATGGGTACAGGGAAGCTGGAGACTGACTTGGTACTAGTAGTTACAACACAGAAAGCATCTGTGGCCATTGTGAGAAAGACTTTGTGGTTTCTCCCATTGGGAGATAAAAGAAGAGCATGGTTTCTGTCAGTTATCCACACTTTCTTTTTGTGCAACAGACACTGAAAACACTAGCACCAGGAGACCAAAAGAGTAAAAAAACTGTCAGAGCGGCCATCTCACTGGTTGATTCATGCTGCATAGCCTCCCTGTGTGTATATATGTGTGTGTGTGTATATATATGTATATTCACAGCTTTCAGAATAACACTTTTTAAACCCTAGTTCTTACAAGGTTTGAGAGAGGAGAGAAACCCAACCATTTTTGCTGACTGTTGACAAGCAAGTTGACTGGATCACCACTAAGACCTCCCTACCTTCTGCAAATTTCCCTTAAACCCTATAGATCTTTCTGCAGCCATATTGCTACATGGAAAGCATGGCTTAAAATGCTGGTTTTGCAGGCTGGTTAAAAACTCAAACCTTTCCAAGTTAAAAATTCCATATCCAGGTTTGTACTTTCACCACTCTGCTCGCCCGTCAGCTTTGTAACGCCTGAATTACCTACACAGTCTGGATTCTCTCTTATCCACCTACACAAAAACATTACAAGTTTGGACCAGGGCAGTGGCTAATGCCAATCACTAGAAAAGTTTGAAACAGGATGGCAGGACAGGGTTGTTGTAAGAATAAAGAGTTGCAGTAACAGAGAATTAAGGGAGTGTTTAAGAGCTCCTCGATTTACTGGTCCTGAACACCTGCAAAACAAAACAAAACAAAACGACGAGTTGCCTGTAGTGATTGGTCACCCTTTGTGAACAACCAGAAACCTAACTGCAGTAAAGGCCTTGGCCATTTGAAATTAGGTCCACTGCATCTAAGAAGCAGAATTCTCTTGTTTCTGCAGCCTGCTGATTATCTAATACTAAGGAATGCCTTTTGGGGGGTCTTTTTTCCTCTAGTTGTGCCATCAAGTCCGACAATGGCATCCTCCACTAGCCTCCCCTCAAACTGTAGCAGTTCCTCTGGGATTTTCTCCTTCTCACCAGCCAACATGGTCTCAGCGGTGAAACAGAAGAGTGCTTTTGCGCCTGTTGTGAGACCGCAAACTTCTCCTCCTCCCACCTGCACCAGCACCAATGGCAATAGCCTGCAAGGTAGGTGAAACCAAGTCTGGAACATAGATGGCTGCTCTCAAAACCGTGAGTTCCCGGCGCCTTGTAAGGCTCTAAGCAACACTGAGTTGTCAAGGGGGATAGAAGACAATGGGGGATCCCTGGTGGTCTCTGTCCTAAAGTTTCCTGCTGTAAAGAGTAACTGAACTCCGCCACCAGCCCACCTAGTACCATGCAGGTGCTTGGCAACCACCCTATCTCTAACTCGACTAACACTGCTGAATTGAGAGGCTGTGTCTTTTAAAGTACAGACCTACTGTTATGATAAAAACGAGTAATATTTCAGCTTACTAATACCATCCTTTTTCTTTCTTTCCTCTCTTATTCCCTGTTGTCGTCCTTTATCAGACCAGTCTTTTGTGGACTCTAGCAAGTACTCCACTGCAGGGTCTCTCCAGGGGCTGGCCTTCTCCTGAAGTACGTCACTCAATCTTCCCTTCCTTTTTTTCCTTTGTCATAGTACACTTGTGCAGAAATCCTACTGAGAGCAAATAGACCGTTACAGATACTGGCACAAACCTTTGCCTTTCATAAATAGAAGACACATTACAAACTAACAGCAGCATTTTCCAGTTTAACTCATACCAGGGCAAACATTAGTTTCCACTGATTACTGTGCCAATTAGTTCCATAAACGGCGCAGGGCCTTTTTGAAAGCCTCTTCAACTGTTGGTATCAGGGGGCTGCTCCTTTTCTGCATCCCTTCCCCTCTCATTACCAAGTATTCCAGCGTTAGTACCTAAATACGTTTTGAGGCGTTGATGCAAGCTGAGGGAGTGACAGACAAAAGCTTGTCAAACTGAAGATGCTGCAAGGACCAGCGCTGCCCATTTCATTGTTTGGTTCAGCCTGTTTTACAACACTGTGCCTAAACCTTCCTGTGTAATTACCTCACTACGCATTAGTGTGCTGAGAGAGACATTTTCATGCTTGCTTAGACTGAGGAGTTTCCAGACAGCTGCCTCCAACTGTGCCAGAGGTGGGAAGGATTTTGCAGTATGCGTTGTGCTTCCCCCAGACTTGAGGTCTGTTTTCCTTTGCACATGCCAGTGCAAATTATCCAAAGAGCATCGAGCAGGGAATAAAATCCATCATTTTTAAGGCCGTGTTCAGAAGGAGCTGTGCAGAGCCTGGGGAGGATAGTTCCACAGACTCCACATGTCACTCTATGGCCTCTGGAAAGAGAAATGCTGGGCTCGAGGGCATAATGCTGATAGCACCATTAACGGCCAAAAAAATCTATATGCAGGCAGAGTGGAAGGAATTCATTCATAAAAGCTGGGATCTGTTGTGACTGAAGGAAAGCGCTGTCCTCAGTGCATTTTACACTGGTGAATTGGGAGGAGGAATCCTTGCAGATCTACACACATGCACACAGAAATTGTGAAAATGCAAGGAACGTATAAGCAGAACTTGGGTACCTTCGGTCAGGACTTCGTAATAAATACAGACAGTGTCAGGGATAAAACACAACAAAATTGTCAGAGGAGCTGTATCGTTTTGCGTGTTTTAAAAATTTGTCACTGCCTACATGCTACAAATTTTAAAAGCAACAGCTAAAAATGTTTCATGTCCAAATTAAAAAAAAATAAAAAAGGAGCTAAGAGTTGACTGCTAGGAGCTTTTGAACATGTTAATGTTTTTTCTTCTCTTCACCTTGTCCCAACTTGCTGTTACAGGTGGAGAGAAAAAGCAAATAACAGGAGAAAGCTTTTTCATGCACTGTTTTTTCTTTCACAAGACACAGAATTCCCGGAGTCCAATACTCAGCTATGAAAAGCAATTATGGAATGAGCTGAGAGCCCTGGACACATGATAATGATTGCCTCCTCATTATGTCCCATCCAGATCTGTAATGCCCAGAAACCACACAGATCTGAATGTTTCCCCTAATTTTTATTTAGCAATTCAGTTTTTATAATAGGAATGACACACCAAGGGATGGTTAATTTCTAGGCCATCACTGAACTTCTTGCTGACTTAAAGACACACAGCCTTTAGTCCCATGCCTTCTGACACCACTTGAGGCTTGTAATAATCACTCAGAAACGCACTGCCTGTTGTTCCTTATTGCTTAAATAAACAACCATGTATAAGGAGGCTGTCTTATCTCTCTTGGGCTTCTGGATACATCAGAAAGCAATCAAGCTTTCCTTATGTAGCTCAGATATCAGCAAAACTCACTAAAACAACAGCTAGGCTTATCTGTTGTTCTCTTTGCCATGCAATTTTGTAAAACTCAGAATACATTATTTCTGTAATTTGCTAGCAGCAAATACAAATTAGTAAATGAGAGAAGAAATAATGCCCATTGGTGGGAGTTTTTCTACTCTCTGCCCTCCGTTTTTGGAGCTGGTGTGATCTCATACCTACACAGTTTCCCACTGATATCTCTGTTTTCAGGATCAATAACATGCTACAGCTGAGAGAATTTGCATGACTAGATGTAGCACTTACGGGATAAAAGTAGAGTGATATAAATGAAGACTGGGAAAGAATGGAAATATCAAAGCTTTTAGGCAGAAAAGAGATCATTTTGCCATTTGCCTTGTAATTTAATTCAGAATTTCAGAGCTCGTCAAAAAACAATAGTGCTTTGAAAAAAAATGAGCCAAGATCTGCACCCGTACCATTTGTTTCCAATGGCAAAAGGTGCATGGCCGATATGTAACTACAGGGAAATATCTGAGCCATGAAGGGAGGAGCTGCAATTATGTCACCGTTGTTTGGGCTTTTACCCAGGATAGACAGCTGTGCTGTCCCAAGAGGGAGACAATTCTTGACCACTTTTTGGTGAAATTGATTTGGTTTTGATGAATCTTTTAGCTTGAGGTTTTTTTTGTTGGAATAATATTTTGACATTTTCTGAAGTATAGGTAATTTTTCTAAAGCAAAACAACATCTTGTTTTAAAGTTTCACTAAATTTAGGATTTAGAAAGGGCTGAAAAGGACAAAAAATCTTGAAGTAGTATGCACATAGGATTAATTATCCATCTGACTCTGCTTATTTGCACTCATCACATATAGGAAGACTCTACCCATTCCCATCTGCTCAACCCCTTGCTTATCTGAGCAGTAAAGGAGGGAGCACTGTTGTTAATATTGCTTTTCTCTGCACTGTAACGTACAGCACTGACGTCCAAGCACTGCAGTCCCACCCCTATATTCTGCTAAACAACTGTCATCCAGAAATCTCCAAGTGTCTTACTAATAGGGATAAAAATTGTTATCCTCAGGTAAGAAACAGAAACAAATCAAATTGCTTGTTGTAATACAATGAGCTAGAAGGAGAACTGGGAGAAAACCCATGTCTCAGATCCATGCCCACGTGAGTCTTTCATATATTCAGATAGGGAAGATGGCATTCTCACCCTTAGCTGCAGGTGGCTGCCTTGTAGGGCTACCATAGCAGAATTACAGCCTGGTTGACTGTATCCATCGCTGTCAATAACTATTTTATTGACACCGTAGAGGTCCATACCCTGGCCCCCATGTAAGGATCCCAAGAGCAGCATAGGGAGCAACCACAACAGTGAGAGCATTGCTTGGCTTGGGTTTCCTTCATTTTCAGTCACATGTATCAAGGGGACAGCCCAACAGTGAGCATTCAGAACTTTTTATTTGAGACACTGCTGAAACGAAACCCTTTGAGAATTTTTTAAACAAAGCTGCTGTTGTTTCACCCAGTGTTGATTAAGCTGGCAAGGATTCTAAAAAAAAAAAGGCAATATCGAATTCATCCTATGATTTGAGATGAAGGAGACAGTATAGCTATGGCAATAATATGAAAATGCATCCTCAGATTATCTCCATGGTGGAGCCAAAAAAGCCCATGACAGGAAATACCTCAGCAAGGAGTATCTAAGACACAGTGGTGTCCTCCATGTTACTCGCTTGAGTGTCTTCCTGTAGGGCTTAAAGCGACTTAACTCACATCTCTATCCCTTTTATCCTCAATCTTAGCTCCTTGGAGAGCCCTTACGTGGAGCAGAAACAATCAGTACAGTGATTCCACATAAAACCATTGCTGAATGTTAAGTTCCAAGAATTGAAATGCTGCTGTATAGTTGCAACATGTCACTTCTGAGGATGGCCTGTTGCAAACATGTGGATATGTTTTGCATTCTCGTCACCTTCTCTCATTTTATTTCATTTAATCAGTGCAGTTTACTCGAGCTGTTCTCCCCTTGCTGATTAGACTTGTAATTCTTGCACATATGGTGGTGTTTGTGGAGAAAACATTTCCCTCCTCTCCCTCTCCAACCCCAAATCTGTGAGTCTTTTACTTTGGCTCTGTTCTTATCAAATAACGGCAGCTGTAATTAAAGCACAATGAATCAGCACCAGTCACAGGGTTGAGTTCTTCCTTAAGAAATTACATGTCCAGATGTCTCAGATGGCAGGCGGTTCTAGCATTTAAATAATGTGCCCATGAAGTGCCGCCAACCTGAAGGCGAAGCTATTTTCTACCTTTTGTCAAATAACCGTACAACTGCTATTTTAAAGATGCATTGTCATTACAGTTTTCATCATAAACTTGCATGACTACCGCCTGTAATGAAGTGCTTGCTCACAGTATATCACTTGTACACTTGGTATGTCTGATCTGCATAGAGTCCCTGGTAAATAGAGGGAGACCAAGCTGGAGTCCAAGCTAGGTAGAAGACTGTACGTGTTGACTTTTAATGAATGTTTCCTCTTTCAGAGACGTGGTAGTTTCATAGAAAATGAGGTTAGGAAGCATAATAAAGAAATACTGATGATTCAACTTAGCCAAAAAAAGAGCAGACTTTCTAAATTAACATTAACATACAACTCAATGTAGTTGGTGATGTCTGCTACAAGTGTAATAAAACCATGAGATGCCGGTTTGCTAAACCACCAGTTAAGGACATATTTCAATTTGAAAATTGGATTTGAGAGTTTCAGTCCTTTTCCGAGCACCTGGAAATACATACCCAGGTATGTCCCAGGGGTGAACGCTGAACTTATAAGAGAAAACTGGCATAGGAGAATAAAACGCTGTTATTGTGCCTAATGAACAAACATCCTACCGGGTCTGTGATATCGGTGGCCGATGGGACTCCAGGCATTTTCTCATATGTGGAGCAAGTATCTGCTTTGTTTTTAAAAGAGTAATAGAATGTGTGGCAATGGGTCAGGTTTAAGGCTCCTGAGCATTTTGAGATTTTTAAACTCAAATCAGAAGATTAAGTTGGGTTCTGATTTCTGATATCAGGGGAAGTGCACTTTTTCTGCAAGAAATCACCAATTTCAGCAGAGTCACTTGCGGTTTAAACCATTTTCCAATCAGAATGAGGCTTCCTGTGATTACTGTGTATGTAGTTGTCTCTACTGCATAATACTTATATATTAATTTAATTCACAGTACAGCTGAGTACGTTGCTAGTAAATGTTTAAAAGCTCTGAGGATTTTAAAGTTGCTTGATAATGCACGAAAGTAACTTCCCTCCCCCCTCTCTCTCCCCCCTTCTCCCCTTTCCTTCTGACAGCTATATCTGGCATGATTGTTCCCCCCATGTGAAAGAATTGCCTTGAAGAATTTTATTAATGAAGAGGTTGAATTCTGCTTCAGAGAAAATCTGATACAAGTCCCAGAGTGGAACTTTTTACTCAGGCCTTTTTAAAAATAAAAAAGAAATAAAGAAGAATCTTACAATAACTGCGGATTTTTAAACAAACAAAAAAAAAAATCACCATCCTTGCAAATACTGAAATTAACAATCCACAACTGCAAGGTGTTGATTCCAGTTGTCCATCCCAAATACCTGGGAGATATATTTATTGTATGTTGATAAAAAATCCACTTTTTGTTTTGTGGGGGTGGGGCTTGCTTTTATTTCCTTCTGTTTTTTATGTTTTTTTAAGGCTTGATTTAACTCAACACCATTTGTCTTTTATAAATCATACAATTACACAAGGGACACTAGAGATGGAACTCCACATTTTTAATTTATGATTTTTTTTTTTTAAAGCTGTGTAAAGAAAAATGAAGTGTTGTCATTTACATACAAGTCTGTTTGGGACAGAATAGAAGTGCCAGTTAGTTTTTCGTAGAAGAATTATGGCCATTTAATTAAGGGTCGGCTCATACAGGTTGCTTATCCAGTGGTGACTTGCTAATACGATGCATTTTTAGTGTTCTAATGAAATAAATATCGCTCCCTAGAAAGCTGATATTTTTGGATGACGAGGGCGGGATGAGGAGTGGGATTAGTAACCTCTGTTTTTAATATGAGGCTAATATGCCTCATAATAATATATTATGAGGCATAATATGAGGCATACTAAATAATGCACCAAGAAATGTTGGTGAAAGGGAAGGTAAGGATGCAAATAACAAACATACTTCCTCTTGAAATGAAAATCCAGTGCCTCTAAATACAACGCAAAAAGCGCAGAATTAGGTGAGCATGGCTCTCTCTTTAGCTTATATATCAGACTTTCCAAATGAGTGGCCTTCTTGAAGTTCAGTGTCACCAGAGCTGTCCATAAAATGCCATTTGGATTTTGCGTAGCCATCTAACGCCGCAGACCGCGGCCGTCATGCGTGGGGTGTTTTCAGCCCCTCTCCCCTGGACCGGCGGGGTGTTACGGGGCAGAATGAGAGCAGCCTCGCCTGTGGGTCTGCACCCTCACGATCTAAAAGCACACTTCTTGGTCAGCCTCCCACTAGGATTGTTCCTGTGTCAGTCGACCCTCTCAGTTTGTATCATAATATATTAAGCAACAGGGAACTGCTTTTGAGTAGTAAATGGAAACACGAGTTGGGGGGCGGGGGGTGGCTCTTAGGAAGGTTTCAAATCAAAACCATAGCTTCTGTTTGACAAAAATTTTGCTATCATTATCTGGGAAGTGTTCTTAAAAACTATTAGTCAAAGAGGCAGCAAAGCTCTGAAGATGCATTACCTGATATTTTTTCTTTGCTGTTGTGTTTTGTATGTAGTTATAAATACTGTAGATTTTTTGTGATTTTTTGCCAAAGTTGTTGTTCTATTTATACATTTTAATGTCTTAAGACAGTTTTTCAATATCACAAAAAAAGAATTTTACTGCATATTTTGCAAAAAGAGCTCACTACCTTTAGCTTGCACATACTTGCAAAATTAATTAAAGAAAAAAAAAGCTTTTTGTTTCTGTTTTTTGTTTGTTTGTTTTAAAGGGGGATTTTGTAAAATATCCATATAAATAATGTATTTATCTTTGGAATTTGTACATTGCTTTTTTCCCCCTACCAAGTTTATTTTATTGTGTATGTTTGCTATGTGAAAAGTGCTGATTCGTTTCGTCATTCACCGTTGTATTAGCTGTTTAAATGTGATTTTAAAACATTTCATTTATAGGGTTTTTTTTAGTATTGTTTAAAACCATGCTTCCATTTTTTTTAATTTCCACCCAAAAGCCATTGTCTATTTTTGTATTATTTGTAAGTTAAGAAGTTTTTTCCAATATATGGCAAAAAGTAGCATATTATTCTTGTAGCATTTAGTTAATGTAGATTTAAAAAAAAAATGTATCCTTTGCTTTTGAGGCTTAACAAAAACTAATGCTGTTTTACTCTATTAATATGCATGGGATTTCTCCTCTTTGGAGTGACGCATTTTTGTGCATTAAATATGGGGAGAAACTTCATAGAACTCAATGAAAATACTTTCTTTCTTAAGTCTGCTTGTATATTTCTCTGTCTTTCACATAAATATAAACCAGCAGATTGGATGCCTTAACAATGCAAATCATATTCATTTCACTTGTACATTGTACTGTGCACCAGAACTGTCAGTCATCACTAACATTCTAAGAAAAAAAAAAAAAAGGAATTGAAAAGCACAAAAGAACTGTTTTGTTACCTTAAAACAATATAACTTTTTTCTAGTCGAGCAAGAAATCATTTACAACGATGCTGCAACTGTGCATGCTTCCTGTATGAATTTTGCAATGGTTTTCACTAGAACGTCACAGTGTGATCTTTGGGGGGAAGGGAAGAAAACAGGAATTTTTTTTTTTCGTGGTGAGAAAATAAAAGAGAAAACTGGAAAATGTGAGAGACATCAATTTATTGCTTCTCTGTATTCCAAGCGATTATTCTAATTCACATAGTAAGCAACAGCACGACAATGTAATCAAATTTAAAGCCATATTTTGTCCAGTGACATCATCAATTACTCTTGTAGAGCTCCACTCAAAATCGTAGCGATTTTGACACCAGTGTTAGCCATCGATGTTTGTAGTCTTCTACGCCCGTGTCCAAAGATCCTTCGACAATGTGCAGAATTTTGTTTTGTTGCAGCTATTTATAGTGATCTGATGAATGGGAATTTATAAAAATCTCCCCCGCACCACCCTTATCTTTTACAAAGTAAAAGATGCAGCTGTTTACAGAATATGGCTTTAAGTGGAAACATTCAGATTTCAGTTTTAATAAGGTGAAGCTTCACAATGACTGGATTGCATAAAGTATGCCTATTTCCTCACAGTTGTACTAGGATGCAGCTAAAATGAAGTCATCTCTGAAACTACTAACCTTTCACCTTCTTATCTAAATCTTTTTGAATAGACACACACACTGTACAGTTCTATTGTTAGAGAAACTAACTACTGTAGAGATTGTTATAATTTTTTTGCAGAAATTCAAGCTGTAAAAACTTTTCAACTTTCACAATATTTAATTAAAGTTACTTCCTGTCTGTGAATAAGCTCCTAGTTGTGTGTTTATTCTTCTGCTCCTGTTAGCTAGTAGATGAGAAAAAATAACATATAGAAGCCAGAGGCTACTGAATTGTCTTTCTGAAATTAAGGAGAAGCAGAAATTCATGGAATTACACAGTGAAACATGGCAAATGCTGATGCACTGAAACTCCTCTTCCTCTGTCACTAATGAATTTCAAAGGATCCTCATTCATAATGCTGAATGTTATTCGTATTGTTTCCATTATTTTACTCTATTGATTGCCTGAAGGGCCAATGTATTTTTCTAGCAGATTTCAGGAGCATATCCAGCTTTAGGAACCCAGCTGCAAAGAGCTGTCTCTCTAAACACAGTCATCATGAAGTACAAGACAAAGGCATATTAGATCCAGTGCCAGAGACCCAGGGAAATGTAAATTTTCAGCTTGGTATTATTTAAGTCAATGGCAACACTTCCAGGACTAGGTCTTAAGTGACCTGCTCAAGGCCAGCTCCAAGAACTGCATCAAACTGTGTTGAGCTGTAACTAGTTCCTTGACTTGACCATGAAGAAAACTTCTGTAAAGTGATTCCACTCCGCTACCCTTCCTAAATGACAAATCCATCAGCTGCTAAATTAGTTCTAGGCATTTCATTTTGTTCTGTACTCCTCTGGCAGGAGAGACCATAAGGAGCTTTTAACTCTGGCATGTGGAAGGTTGACATAATGGCACTTAACTGGGCCTGCGGCGTGGCTGTCATACAGAAGACCTGTATGGGGACAATCAAAAACCTTTAAACACCACACCTAATGCAAGGGTCAAGCATTTCCAAGGTAGGAATAGGGACGTTGGGGTTGCAGTTTAAATTAAATGAAAATTTCCTTTAAAAAAATAAATTTGCTAAAAACATAAGCAGCTGGAAGTGGCTTCTTGTGATGTAAAGTGTTGGATATCTTTTAAATTTTAGCAGAACCACTCCAGTAGTTGTTAGAGAAAAGAGCTGTTGGCAAAGTCAGACCCCAAATGTGTTTACTCTGTCAGCACAAGAGATCTGTTTCTTCTGTCTGAGATAATTCTCCTGGTTCTCTTTCAAATGGTGTGAATATTGGCAGCTCTCACTGCAGCCGAGGGCTCTGTAAGTGCTTGGCTCACTAGAAAGATGTTGGGTCACATGTAGCTGAAAAGCAGTTTTAAAGATTAAATTCAGGATGTAATATTAGGCAACCTGTTCTAGGTGCAGCAGAACCAGAGCTCTGTTTCAGCCTTTTGGGTCCAATGAGAATGTTGTTGTCTGAAATTTAATTTCAGCCACATTAAAAAAAAGGGTGTGAGGGAGGTAAGATGGCACGTTCAGACGGATGCTGAAGAGTCTGCTAGTCAGCCCCAGTGATGTTCATCCGACAATCCTGACTGGGATCCCCTGGGTGACAGTACTGCAATAGATGATGAATTGCTGCTTTGATGCCAGAAGAAAACCCTCCGAAGTCCAAACCATGGAGGAGCAGTTGCAGGGTGCACATCGGGCTATGGCTGCAGTGGGGCGTGTATCTCATGATGGGCCATGTGCTTAAAGGGAGAGGAGTGTCTTCTGTCATCGCACGGAGAACGTGTAGGCATGGGGGCTTCGGGTGCGGTGTGTAATGGCACGGCTTACTGCTGCCCTCTAAACTGGTGGCTGCTTTGATTTTTCAGCAACTATAGTAGTCATTTAGACTGAATGTTTGTGTCTGGCAGCGGGATCGGTTATATTTTTGTATGGATATGCCTCTAATTTTTTAGTTAGTTTAAAGAAACCTCAGCAAAATGAGCTGCCTTCACTGTTCGTTTCCTGGCCTTGTCTGTGTGTCTGCGTATTCCCTTTAGAGTCCGTCTCTACAGGCTCTTGCCACGGCTGCTCCGTGTAATCATTTACATAACTCTGCCTAGCATCACGGCCCATGTATCTTCTGCCAT